GAAGGGAAACAGACAAGTACACAATGGTAGTTTAACATAACTTTCTCAGTACTTCATAGAACAAAGAGGGGGAAAAGAGTAAGGATATAGAAGATTTAAACAACATTATCGACCAACTTCAACCCATTGACATTAATACAACACAACATCCAAATGTAGAATACAAAATGTATGCAAGTGTCCACGGAGAGTTCACCTAGATAGAGTGATGACATGCATACATATGCTTGCATATGTGTGTATATACATACAGTGCACACGTATCATTTATATATAGCACTGACCAAGAGAAGCAAAGCTCATTACAAAGATGGAAAGACACTTTTAGCTATTTTTCCTTAAATGGCAATAAAAATTCCATCACCTAAAAGCATTTTTAATTCAATGTAAAATAGGTCATTCTACAATCTATATATTGTACAGATATTTTCTGGAAACTATGACTCACATTATACAAAATATCGCACAGAAGTGACCAGCAAAATACACTTACTATCACAATGCATTAATAAGCCAAATTAATCAACTGCCAAAGTATACTATAGCTCAGCTTCAGTAGAGACAAAGTTCACAGAAGTTCTTCAGAATATTATTCGTTTATGATATAATTTCTAGCTAAAGTTAATTTTTGAGACAGACTTAAAATATAGCAAAAAATTAAAATTCCAAAGGGAACTATATAACCATGATTTCTAACCAAAAAAATTTAAATTATGTTCAACGTGGCTCATGTTTTTAGCAAATACAATTCAAAGTTTTATTATCTCTAAATAGAACACAATAGAAAATTAAGGTATACATTTATTTTTACAAATGCCCAATAAAAATATAACAGGCTGAATGCCATGAGGCCTGAAGGTCCGTCATCCCCTGAGAAATTATCAGCAGTGTTGTCACAGGGGTTTTTCTTGGTCAGTGATTGAAACGTAAGCTCCTCTCAATTTCTTTACTCTTCAATACTACAGTAATGTGCTATCCTTCTAACCTACCCAATCTGGAATTCCTTCACTCCCTCCAAAATCTTTCTAGTTTCTTCTCTATAATTCCCATTCAATAATATAAAGACTTCCAAACATCCCTCATTCTCCCAAACCATTGCTAGGACCCTGGCCTTAAACCTCCTTTCTTACCCAAATCCTGATTCTCCCGTAAGACACAGCTTTTCTCTCTCAAATGGAAGCTGCATTTTTTGCCATACTTCAAGTACTTCAGAGATCTGGTGAATAAGTTAATATACTCTTTATTCCTTCATACTTCTTCAGAACTCCTGAAGAGTAGAGAATTTCTTCTCTGCTCTTAAGTAAAGCCATGCTCCTTTGATATTTATACTATTTGACTATATTACTCTAACAACCTCTGGTCACAACTGGCTCAATGTACCTCTGCATCCTAATCCCAAGTTAACACTTTAAATGAATGAGGCATTCGACATCCAGCCTCACAGATTTTTCATTTTTTCATTTTCTACGCCTTTCTTCACTGCACTTGCCACCCACTCCAATAGCCACATCCACATCCACATCTTGGAAATCACTAATCTTCTCATTCATATTTCCAGTCCCAGCCTCTGTCCTGAATACTAGACACATTTCTTCAGTCAATCTTCAACATCTTTACCTGAAAGTTTTGTAGGCACTTCAAACTCAACAATTGAAATGATAATTTCTCCCAATCAGTATCTTTTCTACTGCTCCAGTGAGTGGCACCATCATCCACCAAGTTGCTCAGAAGAGAAACCTGGTGTATTCTCTTTAACACCTCATTCTTCCTCACTCACACATCTAGTTAATTATGAAGTTCCTTCAATTAATACTCTAAAACAAATATCACATTTCACATCTCTCTTTCTTTCTCTCTCTGCTGTTATAATTCTAGCCCAAGTCACCATCATTTCTCACCTAGACAACAATATATGCTTTCTAACTGCTCTCCACATATCTGTTCTTGCCCCCTCCAATCCATTCACAGCATGGCAGTCAGAGTGATCTTGTGAAACTGCAAATCCAATATAACACTCCTCTGTTTAAATAATCTCAATGGCTTCCCATAACAGGATTAAATACAAAATTATAGACCCCAACATGCCACATGATCTGGTTCCTGCTCACTTTCTGGATCCTCTCAAACTCACCAAGTTAGTTCCTGTCTCAGGCATTCTCACATGTTTTCCTGGCTTAAAACAAATTCCTCTAATTCTTGGCCTAATTTCTACTTCTACTTTACTCATCAGAAAAATCTTTCCTGATACACTTATTTCCCTCATTATGATCTCTCATAGTTCCTTTTTCTCATAGCATTCATCACTATTTATAATTATAAATTTATTTTATATTGAGACTTAAAATTTTTTTTCAATCCCTACTAGATGAGCGTTATAAAACATAGACTAAATCTATTTTTCTGGGACTTCCCTGGTGGTGCAGTGGTTAAGACTCCATGCTCCCAATTCAGGGGGCTTGGGTTCAACCCCCGGTCAGGGAACTAGATCCCACATACATGTCACAACTAAGAGTTCGCCTGCCACAACTAAGGAGGCTGTGTGCCTCAACTAAGGAGCTGGCAAGCCACAACTAAGGAGCCCACATGCCACAACTAAGGAGCTGGCAAGCTGCAACTAAGGAGCCCTTGAGCTGCAACTAAGGAGCCCATCTGGCGCAAATAAGACCCAGCTCAAAGTAATTAATTAATTAATTAATTAATTAATTAAAAATAAACCTATTTTTTCCATGCTGTGCCTAGAATAGTATCTGTCATATAGTAAGCAGTTAAAAAAATGTCTATCGAATACATGAAAAATTTAAATTGGCATTTCTTTGACTCTACCAAATTTGTATCTTGCTCTCATATATTATGGATAACTATATTTATCCATATTATTTGAACTTATTATACATATCCTTTGCCCATTTTTTATTGGAAAATTCAAAATTTTTGCTTTAATAATATAAATATTAATAGTAACACTAACAATTATGACAATTTAAAAGTCCTAATCAGCTTTTAATGGATATTACATTAAATATAAAGATAAACTTGGAGGAACCCAAATCTTTGTAATATTTAGTTCATTCATCCAGGAATATTATAGAAGTATCATATCTGTTTTCATTTAGTAAATAACTCATATATTTATAATATTTTCCCCCATCTAGGAATATTATATTTATTTTCATTTACCAAATTCACCTTTTTGGTCCCCTGCAAAGACGCTCCAAAGAGGTCTTATACATTCCTGTTCAGCTCAAAGTTTTTTATATATGCCTATATTCCTTCCCCTTTTATATTTTTCTATGAGGTTTTTGCTGGAATACAGAAAGACTATAAATTTTTGTATATTTATAATATAAAAGACCACTTTGCTAATACTTATACCTCATTTCCTTTTCTCTTAAAAATTAGATAGAACTCCCAGAATAAAATTATTATTATAGAGGGGAGCCTTACCTATCTCTGACTTTAATGGGTATGCCTATAGTATTTCCTAAGATGATTGTAACCCACATTTTATTAGAAATACTTTAAAATAAATTATAATAAATACTAGTAAATACCCTTTCTATATCTTTCAAGATAACCATAAATTCTCCTTTATCTACCTATTATATACTGAATATATTAATAGATTTGTTATTATTGGTCCATAATTTCCTTCCTAAAATAAATCCTACTTGGTTATAGCATAGTATTATTTTACTATACAGTTGCAGTCAAATTTCTCAATATTTTCTCTTTTAGTTTGTGGTTTCAGGTCTACTACCTTAAAAGGTACCGTCCATCCCAAGATTTTAAAAGCTAAAAATTTCTACAAATGGCATAATAAATGTAAATAAATGTAAAAATATATCATTTTGTCAGCCTAGGAAAACATATTTACAGACATAATAGACAAAAGATTAAAATCTCTAATATACAATGCAATAAGAAAAATAAAACAAAAAAGAAAAGACTATAAATAGGAAATTCACAGAATACACACATGCTCGCATACAATAATAATGTATGTTATTAATTCGAAGAAAAATTAAGAAAATAAACTAGGTACAATGTTAGACAGGATGTGTTAAACATTCACTCTTCCATACTGCTGGAGGGACTATAAACTGATAGGAGGTTAATTTTGCATGTTTAACCACAGCTTTCATTCTGGACATCCAATAAGTCATAAATTTCCAAGAAACTCTCCTACAGAATACTGATGTTGTCCTACAGAATGCACATGTTCACAACAGCATTGTTAATTAATAGAGCAGTATTAGAACCAATCTAAATATGTACAAATGAGGAATGGTTTAATAAATTAAGTTACCTCTGAAGAGCAGAATATCATGCACCTATTTGAAAAGAGAGATCTAAATGTAATGATCTAGAAATATGTCCTTGATGAATGAGTGAAAAAAAAATCAAACCGTATAATAAAATTTTAGCGGATAAACATGTAAATATAAATAAGACCTGGAAGGATTTTTGGCACACTGTTAAAAGTGGTTACCACTAGGGGATGAGCCTAGAAGGGCTTGGGATTGAATTTTCAATTTTTACTTTACATACATTTTTTAAATAATATGGATATAGATGATTTTTTTACTTTCTCTTGGGTTTTTTGTATATTTTGAACTTTAAAAAATTAAATAATTTGATGACTTTGTTAGTTTTCACATAAGATTTCTATACATCTACGCTTCGGTGAGACCAGTCTATAGGGTTTTTGTGTGCATTGTCCTCCTATTTAAATATCAAAGTTATACTATCTTAAAAAAATGAATTGGTAGCTTTCCTTTTTCTGTGCTATAAATGTTTGAATAAAATAGGAATCATTTGATTTTTACAAGCCTTCTTAGAATTTAATTATAAGTCATCTGCATGTGGCATCTTTTGCAAGGGTAGTTCTTGGACCACTTTTTCTACTTCTTCCATAGGTTTTTAGTCTGATAGACTCCCTTCTATAAATAAATTCAGCTTTCATATCTGTATGAACTTGTTTTTCACAGAGTTTTACTTACTCTACTGTTCATGTCTTCAATTTGCTTTGCTCGCTGAATTCTCCTCATTTCTAGGACCTGCTCTCTCTTCTTCTGCAACCATGCTTTAAACACCATGTCATTCTCTTTTTTCTTTTCTTTCTCTTCTTCTATTTTCCTTTGTTCTTCCTGGTGGAAGGAATATCCAAACACATTAATGAAAAATTAATAAACTTATATATGTGTTATCAAAGTAGAGAGATACATTTTGAGGTCTGAAATTAGGATTCCCTGCCCCTAAAAATTTCCATCTGTAAATTGGGCCTCCCTAAAAAACAGGACCTCTAATTTGCTTAGGGAAAAAAATGAAGACTTTTCAGATAAATTAAATTGTCAAGATAAAGTCTACAATTACATAGATCTACATTATACAACATGCTGTTAAAGAATTCCTTGGATCTCTCCTTCACTTCCTAGTTTACTCTTGGTATTTAACTCCCCAAATTGCAGCTGTGCAAAAGAGAAAAACACCACACTCTAGAAGCACTACACGGGGTCTATAGAAGCACTATAAATGTCTTAAAATTTTTTACATTATTGTTAAATTTGCTAATTGTGATACATGGCATTGTGGTTACAAAACAAAATGCTATAATCATTTTCTTTCTGACATGTACAATCATTTCTGAAGTGCACAAGTAGCAATGATGGGCTGTCTAGGACTTGCTTTAAAAATACCTCAGCCAGGGACTTCCCTGGTGGCACAGTGCTTAAGAACCCGCCTGCCAATGCAGGGAACGTGGGTTCGATCCCTGGTCCGGGAAGATCCCACATGCCGTGGAGCAGAGAAGTCTCCGCAATGAGAAGCCCACGCACCTCAATGAAGAGTAGCCCCAGCTCGCCGCAACTAGAGAAAGCCCGTGCACAGCAACAAAGACCCAACACAGCCAAAAATAAATTAATTAATTAATTAATTTAAAAAAATACCTCAGCCAAAAAAGGAAGAGATGAAACAAGTATGCCAAAGTCTCAATGACTTTTGAATCTGGGTAATGAAGACACAGGGGTTAATTGTACCTTCGTATGTGTTTGAGATTTTTTTTTTATAATGTTTAAAAATATTTTCAACTACTGTATAATCATAAAGTAACATTTCTGCTATCAGAAAAAGAATTAAGGAATTAGTTAACTATGAGAACAAAATGCACTTTATAACTGCATTATTCAACTAATGTTATAAAAGAGAGTTACTTAAACTAGAAGTGAGAGTACCTCACTGGTTTAAGTATAAACCAATTATGAAGAGTTATAAAATAGTTACTGGGAACAAAGCAGCATGTCACAGTGGAAATAGCACCAAGCTAGAAGTTAGGAGATCTGATTAACAATCATACTGCCATCATAATATGTCAATTTGGGCAAACCACTTAACTCAGTATTCTAATCTATAAGATGAAGTTGTATTAACAAGCTCTTAAGTCTCTTCCAATACTAAAATTTTAGCATGGAAATAAACTGAATTATAGAATCCATGTTTAAACTGTTTTTAAATAATGGAATTCAGAGTTCTTTCCTTACATTTTGACAATATAGCAAGCCCTTCTAATTCTTTTTGATTGAACAGTGTATAGGAAGGAAAGGAAAAGTTCTATCCAATTAACAGTATAAAATGTCTTTTAAAATACCAGTATATTATTTTCTAAGCCCTAAAGGAGCTTACATTATATAATATGTGAATTTATTAAATATTAAATTTTATATTTAAGTTCATTTTTACCAAAAGGATTTTGGATGCCTTGCATGAATATAGACAGTATTGTAAGACAATTATTTTTCCAGATGGAACATCTGGATTATACAGAAGATATCAGCCAAAGTACAGATCCTACAGTTGCCAAAGAGAAGAGTGAAATGATGCATTTAGTGTAGAGAGATGGAGTATAGCTGCCCAACCCAGCAAATATTTTGCTGGGCATAAAAAAGGAAAGCCTTCCCCTGAAACCAACTAAAAATATTTTAAAGTCTTAACACTTAAAGACAATGCCTTCAGCAAGTACATAAGCAAAGGGAAATTTAGTTATGAGGATCCTGACATGAGAAAAGTATATCCCAAAACAGAGTGTTTGACACCTAAAAAAGAGGATCAAAAGAAAAACAGAACTATCCATCAGTCATACCGGTTAAAGATTACCATTAATTTATTAGTGAAAAGACACTGAAATTATATAAAACCTCCTGCATAACTTTTACAGAAGTATATACACAAATACACATATAGATGCATGTGTGTGTACAGCAAACATATAGTTCAGTTATTCTCAACAAATTCTTTTGTGTTATTATGAAGTTCTGAGTTAACAGATCCTTTTAAGTACCTATTATATACCTGAACCAAGTAAGCTGAGTCTGACTGTTAGAGTTCAGATTTCAGTACCCAAATAAGCAAAATTTTATTAAGTATGCACCCTTTCAGATTCCTACCTGAGTGTGCTATAAGTTACATGTTCTTACTAACTTCATTTTTTAATCTTTTTCTGCTAATGTGAGTTTGATTTAAATGCCAGAAATTTCCATGGTAATTTCCTACATAAGTAGAAAATATACCGTTTCTCAACAAATGACAAGAAAACTGGGATTTTGACTTTGCTACAGACAAGTTGAGGGACTTCAATAAACTATTAAACTATCTCGACTATAGTTTTCTCACCTGTAAAATAATCTTTAAGGTTTCTTCTAATTGTAAGGTTCTATTAACTGTGATTCTGTTGCAGTTTGGTATTTACAGTTAGACATTTTACATGGTTCAGCTTCATGCTATCAGGTATCCAGTAAAACAGAGAACCAGGGTGCTGATTTAGGTAATTTAGAGAAAATCCCCCAGTTTTAGTACCTAGAATTTTCAACTATACTTTTATTTAAGAGCAAGAAAAAAATCCCAACATAATAATTTTGGATTCTGTATGGCATTTTGGAGACATTTCATTTAGGTTATGAGGTTCTATTCTTAATCTAAAACTAAAACCCCTGAAATCAAGGAACTGTAGTGTTGATGAAAATAATCTGTAATAGGAATAGAAAAGAGTTTTATTCCAGCCAAACTAAGGACTATAGCCCAGGAGACACAAATTCAAGAAGCACTTGAATTGTGTTCCACTGGACTACAAAATGGGGGAGGCATATATATAAGCAAAAACTGCAAAGTTACATAAGTTGTTTGTCAAGAACCAGGATTGAAGCTGGCAAGAAATAACAGTGCTTGTTAAGCACCATTAAGTGGACATTCTAAGCAATCTGGTAAGTACATTCTTTTTTTTCTTTAATGGTGAAAGCAGATGTACAATGTATGCTTTACAGGCCATAAGACAGGCTGTTCTAGTTAGCATAAAGTTCAAGACAAATCATGTATAAGCCAGAATGACTTCCCCACACCTCAATATGTGAAAATTTCTTCCATCAGTAGGCCTGGAAGATATATGAAATACACACACACACACACACACACACACACACACACACAACCCAGAGAACATAATCCAGTCCCACCTGTTGCCTCCTAAACCCCAAATTTGTGCCTTCATTTTTTCATCTGACATCTGATTTTCACCTACCTCATAACAAGATTACTTTCAGCAGTCACTTAACTTCTCTGAGCCTCACGTTTAAAATGAAAGGATCAGATGAGGTCATCACTGAGGTCTCCTCTAGCTCTAACACAGGTCATTCATTACTATGCTTTTGTGATGCTTACCAGAAAGGACCAAGGTAATCATGGTGCTTGTTCCATAAATACAGATGCTTAATACTTAACCACTTAATCTAACAAAAGAAAAACAAAACAAGCAAGTAGATATATCAAATAATTTGAAGAACCATTTCAATTCCTACAGCATTTATAAAACATAAAAACATATTCTACTTTCAATATAATGCCCACTTGTGCTCTCACCTCTCTCTTTAGCTTTTCTCTCTTTTGTTCTAGTCGTTTTTGCAGTTCTTTCTGTTGAGGAGAGAGACAGTATGTTGAGGTCACTGGAGATATATCTGCAGACCGTGTCCTATGACTAGATTTTCCATTCCCCTTACTTCGATCTGAGTTGGCAGCAGAACCTGGATGAGTCTTGGGGTTGGGTGGTGGCTGAGGGATATAAGCCAGTTGCTCTTCTGTTGATGAGTGAGCAAAAGCATGAATTTTTGCTATTGGCTCTTCTTTCTTGACTCCACTGACAGATAAATTGGGAGATCTGGGTGACAACTGCTGAGGCTCATTTTCTGTATAATTAGCATTATTAATGGGGGGCAAAAATCCCTGACTCTCAATATCTTGTAAATTCATAAGTTCAAACTTTCCATCTCTCTCTACTAGTATTTTCCTATCCTTGTTTTCTTCAGAATTTCCATCAGTAGGGGACAGGAGCTCATTTTCTTGTGCAAATTCATTGGAAATACATAACTGAGACAGTTTTCCAGACACGTTACTTTCATTTTCAAGGTAATTTTTGTAAGTATCAGTGTCTTCCAGAGGAGGAACTTCCAAATCAACTAATTTGTCTTTGAATTTAAGTTTTCTTTCCCTTTTATCATTCACGGGTTCTTGATTTTGTAGAAGCTTGTTGGCTTGTATAATTTTCTCCATAATATATCTCCTTACTTCCTCATCCTCTTCCTCCTCCAGGTCTTGCTGGCTTTCTAGTTTGGATTCCTGTAAAGAGTTTTCACTGTCTGAATCTGATATGGGATCCAAAGTTTGAATACTTGGTACAGAAATGAAGTCATTTCTTCTTGATGAAACCTCATCCTTGAAAGATCTGTCAGGATCAGAAAGCTGCTTGGAATGTTCTATTTCTGTTTCATTCTCTTTTAAGCCTTGGTTAATATTCTCTTCATTCCCACAAACCTTCTAGAAAAACAGAGATGAGATTCATTTTCAGTAAAAATTGAGACTCTTTTGTCCATTTATATGTAGACAATCCAAAATGGATTTTCATGCTCATGTAATTTATTTTATGTGGGAAAATTTACATGCTTCCTGCTCATACTTCACTCATAATTTTCTAATTCATATTTATGAGCACCCCAAGGGAAAAGCACTTCAGGAAAAATTTAACTCTAAATTTGAATGTGATGCTGCTAAGTACTAGACTGGTTATTTTTTTTTAAATTTTACGCCAATGTATAAAAATGTACCTACAAATAGTACAATATTATTTTAATATTCCTCCCTCTATAAAATTTTCCTCCCTTTACAGTTTCAGAAGAATATATTTTTAAATGTTTTCTCCTTGTAATATTTGTATTCTTCAAAAAGATATCTTTCTCCTCAGGACCATTACAAGGTCACTGCCTTTGGTCAAGTCCTAATAATTTTGAGGTTCCTATAATCTTTTCAGATTAGTATTGCTGCTATTTTCTGCAGGACCTATACCCAAATATCAGGTCAAGTTTTAGCTCTGGATCAGATTCTCTTTCCTCAGCTATCTTCAGAGGCTCCAATAATCTATGTTAAACACCATTATATAACTTGGCCTTACTTTTTTAAAAAACATAATTCCACATGAACCATAAACCAGAATTATCACATCACAAAACCCTGCTCCACATCTGTTTCTAACTAATGGTTTCTTACCTAGCATCTCTCCTACAAACATGTATCCTCACCTACCAAACACTTTGCCCCTAAAATATATAATTTTTTCTCTTTCTCAGACAATTCTCTCCTCCGGAAAGAGTTCCATGGGAGCTACTCTTTTCTGCTCTCTTCAACCCCTTAAAATTCCCTTCCTTTTTTACTAGCTCAGTCACCATTTCTAACAGCCTTCTCTTCCTAACCTGCACAACACTGCTGGATGTCCAATAAGTAAATAAACCTGGCCCCCTAAAATGACTACCAAACAACTAAGACCAACTAAGATCTCTGCCTTGTAATTTTTCTTTTTAGCCGTATTTGATTCTCTGGCTCATTTCTATAGTATCTGTTTCCAGATTCTCCTTTAGCTTTCACTTCTTTGTAAAACCCACTACAATAAAATCTTTCCCCGACCCTCACCCCTGTTTCAAGCTCTGTCATCCATTTTTCCTACCAGCCTCAAAGGAAAAAGTGATTGTAATAATCCACCAGAATGAGCAAGACTCATTACAGCACTCTGTTTTGACCACTGCTATATCTTTAGCACTTAGAACAGCCTCTGACACATGGCAGGTGATCATTATTTTTTGTTGAATGAATGAATAAAGAAGTAAAACAATGAATTATCATTATCACTTCTCTAATTCTATTACCCTGTGCTGTGGCTCTCACACTCTTCTAGTCATGAGATCTTGCCTTGGTTCAGCATTATTGCTCTGGGTATCTCTACCTCTACTCATTCTGATTATTTTTTTGTTAAAGATGCATAAAACTCCCATGTAAAAGTCATCTTGGAAAAGTCTTCACTTTTGACTCTGTTGCCATTTCCAAATATCATCTATCCCATCTGTCTTCTCCATTGCATAAGAAAGCAAAAAGGAGCCAAGAGACAGCTGTGATGTAAAACCTGCTGCCTTCATTTCCTCATATTCTTTTCCTTAACTCTCTGAAATCTGGCTTTTGTTGTAACTACTCTGATCAACGTCCCTCTAAAGTCACCTTTTCTTATCCCCATCTTGGTCCTTTTCTTTATTACTTCCCTATTTATTGACAATAATTATATTCTACGTAATAATTAAATATTATCTATTGTAATACACATATATAATTAGTGTCAATACATATGCATATATATATACACATATATATTATATATGGATACACACACACACTGTATATATGTAAAGAGAGAAAGAAGGAACCTTCTGTGAACCAGGAACTGGTTCATTTTCCTGGACTTCCCTTCTACATGTCTGATAAATAGTACAGAATCATGTTTAATGGATCCACTTTTTCCTACAAATATTCCTATGGCTCAGTCTTTGACCTTTTACTTTTTTCCATATATTCATTCCCCTAAAATTCACTCTTAAGGTTTCCAATATTAGCTGAAGACCATGTTTTTGAGGATTTGCTTTATTTTTCATGTATATTAAAAGAATAAACCCATGATTTTACCCAGGTTCATATAAAGTAGAAATTAAATGTATTTGTTTTTTACTTTTGATGCAATAAATTATTTATATTATGTAAATTATAATTTTAATTTTTAATTATAATTTTGGCTTTATTAAGTGCTAACTTAATCGCTGTTCTCTCACTAATTAGCCCTATGCCTTAGGATGTTTAAACTCTCCATGCCTCAATTTTCTCATCTCTAAGATGGGGATAATTACACTTGTTCTATGTATATCAAAGGAATTTTGTGAGGTTTAGATGAGATAATATATGTGAAACTCCTCAAGAACTACAAAACACTGTTAATATAATTACTATGAACTCCGTTGGCAATTTATATATACCTCTATTATGCTGGCACCACTTTTTTCTTTTTCATTAATCAACCATTCCAGGTCCTTTTCAAAGTCATCTTCATATTCTCCACTATATTTTGAATCAGTTTCTTTATTTTCATCCATTTTCTGTTTGTTAAAGAATAATGTTATAAGATTAAAAGAGATAAGGTGTACGTCATGTCCACTTTAGGGGTAGTATGGAGTATGCTTAATTAGCTTACCTTTAATGTTAAAGGAAGCTAATTAAACACAGAAACACAAATTATGGAATGTTCAGAATAAACATATCAGCATACCCTAAAAGAGAGACTTAAAAAGGCCAGACATTTTCTAGGTGTACCGCTCCCAAACAACCATTCCATCTCCCCGCAATTCCTGACACCCTATTTACAAGGAGACTAAAAAGGGTGGAAAAGAAAACTATCTGAGACTTAGAGAAGGATTTTCCACATCCCCACCAATCATTAAAACTCCTTGTCCAGGTACGAGCTGATGAATCAGCTTTTTAGTCTCACTCGTTCACATTTTCTCATATTCACATAAAAACAATTATATTAATTCTCATCCTCAGTTTCTCAATCCCATATAATTTATATAGCATAATTATAATTTGTGATCTGAGAGTTTTTTTTAACTATGTAACAACTGACTCTCCGTTATAGTAAATACTAATTTCCAGAGAAGTCAAACTGTTGTCAATTCAAAATAAAATATATCTTTTTCATAAAAAACAAACTGTGATGCCTAGTACTATCTGGAAGGCAGTGACAAGAAATAAGAATGTCAAATGACAGTTAATAAATGTGTGTGAAAATGGTATAAAATTTTTTATGAAAATACCATTCAGCCATTTTTATGAAAAAAACTAAAGTTATCTGCAAATTGAGGTCAGTTCCAAGTCCTAATTTTTTGGTCCATAATTTTTCAAATGGAGGAAGCATTTTAATTTTTACCTATAACGTGCCTTTATGTGTGTGAGCATACTATATATATGTGTGAATATGTACTGTAATTTTGACAAATATTTGTTGAACACCTACAATATTCCTATAAAAATTATAAAATATGCTCTTGAGCCCTGATACAGAAGACAAACATAAAGTACATAAATTTAAAATGTAGATAAAAAACATAAATTGAAAATGTAGATAAGTGGGAAAAGGTATATTATAAAGGACTGTGGAAAGAAGAATACAAAAGCAACTCTGTTTAAAATTGGAAATATCAAGGAAAAATGAGATGGGTTTTGAATAATGAGTACGAGAGTTCATCATTATCCCAGACAAGAGAACAGCATGAGGAAGAACCAACACGGAAGTGCATGGAATTTTCCAGTGTGGCCTGAACATAAATGTGCTCCTGGAGAAGGGTCTAGAAGAAGTGAGAAGGCATCAGTTTGATGTCATATTTTCTTTTCAAAAAGAAAATGGTTGAGGGAAAATTGTTTATGTGGATCTAATTGTCATGAAATAGCCAAAGGTAGAAATATACAGCAATAATCTGCATACGTTCCACTACTGACTTAAACAAAAAGAGCAATGCTCTATAAATACACTTAGAATTTTAGGTCCAGTTTCAAAATAACTGTAGAACTATGATCTTCAGGGCCCCAAACACCTGGGACCTTGTTTGTTTCTATACCTGCCTTCTCTTGCTCCTACACCAAGACTAAGTTGCCTAAAACCTTTTCTGGAAGTAGAAAGTACAGATGTCAAACACACATGAAATCTAGGTAACACTTTTTTTTTTTTTTTTGCGGTACGTGGGCCTCTCACTGTTGTGGCCTCTCCCGCTGCGGAGCACAGGCTCCGGACGCGCAGGCTCAGCGGCCATGGCTCACGGGCCCAGCCGCTCCGCGGCATGTGGGATCTTCCCGGACCGGGGCACGAACCCGTGTCCCCTGCATCGGCAGGCGGACTCTCAACCACTGCACCACCAGGGGAGCCCTAGGTACATTTTTTAAGATACAAAATGAGAAAAATTATGTTTGATTTGATAAACATAAAACATCAAACTGTGTTGTGGCCATTAGCTTCACTTTATTCTCCCCAAATGTTTGACCAGACTACCTAACCTAGTGCCAATTTTACTAAAGCAAGATTTACATTTTTTTCCTTCTACTGTTCACCACCAAATGATAATGAAAGCATGTGGGATACCATCTTTCCACTAGCTGTACAGCACTAGCTAAGAGAATAGATAACGCTATGTGTGAAAAACCTTTTGATAGGTTTTAGTGAACAGTATGTTCAAAATGAGTTAAAAGGATGAGATAATTCAAATAGATACATGCACCCCAATGTTCACAGCAGCACTATTTACAATAGCCAAAACATGGAAGCAACCTAAATGTCTATCAACAGATGAATGCATAAAGAAGATGTGGTGTGTATATATACACAATGGAATATTACTCAGCCATAAAAAAGAATGAAATAATGCCATTTGCAGCAACATGGATGGACCTAGAGATTATCATACTAAGTGAAGTAAGTCAGAAGGAGGAAGACAAGTACCATATGAGATCACTTGTACGTGGAACCTAAAATATGACACAAATGAACTTATTTATGAAACAGAAACAAACTCACAGACATACAAAACAAACTTTTGGTTACCAAAGGGGAAAGGGGGTAGGGGAGGGATTAATTAGGAGTTTGGGATTAGCAGATACAAACTACTACATATAAAACAGATAAACAACAAGGTCTTACTGTTAAGCAACAAGGTCCTACTGTATAGCACAGGGAATTATATTCAGTATCCTGTGATAAACCATAATGGAAAAGAATATGAAAAAGAATATATGAATCACTTTGCTGTACACCAGAAACTAACACAACATTGTAAATCAAGTATACATCAATTAGAAAAAAAATGATGAAGACAAAAACATAAATGGGCTCCAAGGCTGAGACCTGGCTGAGGTACAGATAACACACGAAGCTCTGTATGCAGTTTGTTACAGTTTAGAGAATAAAAGACAAGCTGGAACACATTCAGAGGTTGGTAAACCAGGAGACAGGGAAATAAAAGACAAGGAGAAGGGAAGAAGGCAGGTTATGAGAATAAAATGCCTTACAGCCAATATTCTGAGGAATACTTGAAAACCCTCAGAATGTTAGCCCACAGAAGAGAAATCTCCTAAAGGAGAGTCATGACAACTGCTTTACAATATTTAAATGGTCACCATGTAAAGGAGGGTTGGACTTGCATTATTTCAAACAGTAAGACTAGTACCAAGGACTAGAAACTCAGGGGCAAATTTTTCCACAATGTAAGACAGAATTTACATTTTCAAACTTGCCCTGAAGCGAGCTGCGTTCCCTGTTGATCAAATGTTTATACATAGCTCAGAAGATAATCACAGCAAGAGTGTTTCAAAGGAGACTGAAACTTTAGACAAATGATTGAGCTAGATGACCCTTAAGGTTTATTTTAACTTTTACTATAAGATGCAAATTAGCAAATAACTGCCGACTTATGAAATGCAAGAGAATGTAAAAACAAATGCACACACAGTACCATGATAATACTTACTCTAAAATAACTTATCAGTGTCTGAATAACTGAGTTCAAGACTTAAATTCTAAAGTCTATTTCATTTAAATGTCACCACCTTTCCTCTGCAGAGTTCTTAATATTATTTCCCCTTCCCTCTCAAGACAAAATTAGTTTTAGGCACACTGAGTGTTAATTATTCAACTCAATTATTCAGCTGGATAATTATAACTATTTCTAATATATTAGTTGGACTGTATCCTTCTAGATACTTATTTCTTTTAAGCTAAAAATAGGAAATGGACTTTCTTAAAGGACTCAAAGTAATGCCTCAATAATTTGGAAATCAGAGGTTGAGAGGAATATTTTGAAGTGACCTGAGGAAAACAAATCAATGTTTCAGAGTGAGTTTATTTATCACTGCCTAAGCTGCAAAACAAGCTAAATCACGTAAACTGTTTTATCTACTTACCTACCAATTAAAAGTAAGGGTGCCGGGGCTTCCCTGGTGGTGTAGTGGTTAAGAATCCGCCTGCCAATGAAGGGGACACGGGTTCAAGCCCTGGTCTGGGAAGATCCCACATGCCACGGAGCAGCTAAGCCCGAGCACCACAACTACTGAGCCTGTGCTCTAGAGCCCGTGAGCCACAACTACTGAGCCCATGCGCCACAACTACTGAAGCCTGCGTGCCTAGAGCCCGTGCTCCGCAACAAGAGAAGCCATGACAATGAGAAGCCCACGCACCGCAAGGAAGAGTAGCCCTTGCTCGTCGCAACTAGAGGAAGCCCACACGCAGCAATGAAGACCCAACGCAGCCAAAAATAAATAAATTTTAAAAAATTGTTTTAAAAAGTAAGGGTGCCAAGAATGATGTAGAATAGACTAAAACTCACTGTGATCCAAAATACTTATATAAATAATACTATTTTTCACAGTCACATATGCCTTAGGATAATCAGCTTTATTTTCAGATCAGGAATCTTGAAATTTATTATTTTAAGATGTTTAAGTTACATAACTAATTGTTAGAGTAAGACTTCTATGGAACTCATCAGTGCTTTCCCTTAATTTCATAAAAACATGGTTCTGACCTGTAAATAAATGGTTGCCTGAAGACTCCAGTAGATACGCTTTTCTATTCACAAAGTATCTCACCCATGTGAAAACTCAAATTTAAAACTAAAACACAGAATCAGCAAAATAAATAAAAATAAAATAATTACAAACTAAACATATTAGGTATTGTTAAATCAAACTATTATGCTATAATTAAAAAGAAAAAAAAGCCATAGTTGAAGTGACTCAGGGAAGTAAATGAAGTTCATCAAATAACAAGTGCCATTCTTCTCCTGTAACTTCAAAAAATTCATGGATAGTTCCCAAGTAAACAAAGAACATAAATCATAAACTCTTGTAACGAAGTCCCTTAAGCCTTTTTCAAATGCGTCACAGGATATTCAATCCCCTTCAGTTTTTTTAATCTTCATCCCCAGGGTACTGGCCATATGGCACACAGTCTACATTCTGGAACAGAAATACATCTTACACAAACTGAATCACCTAACACGTATTCCTTGTGAGTTTCACACATTCAATGTGCATCATCAGTAAAAACCTATGT